TTTTCTTAAAAACGTAACAATTATCGCAAAATTTTGAAATATAAAAATATAAAATTTTTATACAAATCATTAATTCTTATGACGTCCATATTGAAATTTTTCCCGCTTTTTCATCATTTCATTATACTAATAATCGACTATTAATCCACAAAAAAAATAAAAATTTTCAAATAAAATGTAGAAAATATATATACTTAACTTTATTGCATAAAAATAAAACAATAATTAAACTTAAATTCTATTTTTTAAACTCATAATACGAATTATCTATAACTCTAACCTTCAAATATATCAATAAAGAAAAATAATAATAATATAACTATCATAGGATTTCTAATTATAAAAAAAATAAAAAACAAGTCTTAATAGAATATTAATATAAAAATAATAAAATAATATGAAAGAATTGTGAAAAAAAATTAAATATTACACAGATAAATCACATACCTCAAGAAAAAATTGGCACGTCCGAACGCCACGATTATCGAGAGTACAATGACATTCGACGCCGCGATTTCGATTATCGAATATAAATTCGGAAGGGGAAGTCGATAGTTCGACAATCATAACAAATCGTAATGTGTCGAGCGTGATACAAACGCGACCATCAATTTCCTGGAAAAGTTTTATAAGAAATGTTTTCACTCTCGAGGCCTTGAGCTCCAAAATCAAAACAAATATAGAATAAATATATAAGTTGAACACAGAGATAAATACATTCGAGAATAACATATATGTATGTATGAAAATACGTGTGAAATTGAATATTGCGATATAATTTATTTCCATATGAATAAAAAGACTTATTAAACGATTATTATTTAAAATTTACTACACAAATACAAATCAAAATCGTAAAATAAATGTATAAAATTAAAATTATTATATTAAAATAAAGTAATAACTAAAATCTTTGCAGAAAAATTTAACAATGGACGCTACCAGTAACCTCAAAAGAAAAATGGCATAAAAAGGAAGAAAAGGACTTGAAGGATTAGTTAATTTCGTTATCACGATGTTTAGTAGAATATTAAATAAATGAAGCAAGTAATAATTTATAAATTAGATAATAGAATAACAATAAAATTACTTACTGCGTAGTTGAAATGATGCTGCTCAAGCCGGTAACACGTCCTGTCACAATGATTTTCGGCGGAAGAATGACATCAAGCGCCACAGGTTCAGTTAGAGTGCTTCTGATTGGCTGGAACACACGGTTTCTTATTTAATTATTTTCACGCGCGAAAATTAAACTATTATACAATATAAATTTATTATTTATTATTTATGTATAGCATACTGAATTTCTATCTATTTTATTATCTATTTATTCTATTATCTATATTCTATTATTTAAGGTTTACGAAGATCTATTTATTAAAAATAATAATAATAATAATTAAATATTAAAATTAATTTTATATAAAAATTAATTAAATTTAAAAAAATGAAACATAACAAAAGATTTTTATTATTAATTATTGATAAT